ACAAACTTCGGTGATATTTCAGAAATTTGAAAGATGTAGCCTATAAAGCAAATGAATATTTGTTGCAGTCAATACGAACATAAATGATTATAACGAATTTTTCAATATAAATGAAATTAAAAAATAGCATCTAAGCAAATTTGCAACAGCAGTATAATGAAAGTAATTGTTTAAAAATTTGTTCCAAATGTAGCCATCAACGGAGAAAAAAAGAAAGAAACGAAGCTGTACGCAACTTCATCAAATTGATAGTGCAACGAAAATTCTCTGAACCACCGATTTTCGGGAATTTATTTACTTCCCTTTTTTATAAACACAACGTTGACCGTAAGTTAGTAGTTTCATCTCTTGAAACATTGAATGTAACCCATGTTTGTCAGTTCTCTTCGCCAGAATCGTTCTATGTACGTATTTCGAATGATTGAAGCGTTGAGAACTAAACAACAATGGTTAATCCTTAAACGACGAATCTAGTCGAACAATCGGCGTGATTACGAATTTCATTGTACGCCGTACAACGAGCTGGCAGGACATCCAAGCGAATACAATATAATATTGGAGACGTTTTATCGATACGAATGACGGAAGATTCTCTAGCTTGTTCGGATTTGATACTTTTATCTGAGCGTGATCCTGTCTACATTAGGCTTTACCTACCACTTTATCTTGTAAGTGATCTGATTAGTTTGCAAAAATTTAATATAAACGATTGCACTCCTTATTTTCGCATCGACGTCAACAAATTTATTCAAATGTATTTCTATGAGTACAATGTAAGGAGCAATTGTTGATTTCATTCATTTGAAAATTGGGGAATTCTATAACTTCTTAACATTGTTCTTCGATAATATTCTAGTCTGAAATTAATATGCTGAGTGTATTAGGAAATATTCTAGACGTTGAACTGCTTGTTTAGCAACTGCTTTAATCAGTTAAATCATTAATTGACAATCTTGATAATCTAATCTTATATTATATTATATTATATAAATAACTAAATTTTATTTTACGTTTTTAACTTTCTTTTCTATTATAAATAGAATCTCGTTACTTCCACTGTACTACAAATAATTAGGGGAATATTTCGTGCCTGGTCTTAAGCAGATTGTACCTTGGCAACAATTTGCTACGATCAGGTGGAAAGTATACTTGAAGGTTCATTGCGATCCTGAGGCATCGATCAAAGTGTCCTCTCGTAATCCGAAATTTGTATAGAAGCGGAAAGTTGCCAAGGAAGGGAAATTTCTACCGGAAGTGTTGCTAGTCGTAGCAAACTGCTAGCATCTGCTCCAACCGCCAGCGCAGTAACACATAAACGATGTAGCCTAACAGTTCCACCAAATATACATTATCCGAGCATCGGTCTTCCTCTTTCTCCCTTTCCCTTTGTTCCGGGCAACTCCAGAATCCTGCATCGCTTGAATCTCATTTGAAGACCTCTTGGAAGTCCAGAGATACATGGAATCTCAGTGGTTCGACTGGCTCTACTGAATCCCTTTGGACACCACCGTTCCGACTACTCAATTTTCCAACTACGCAATTTTTGTTAATTGGTCCGCTACTGTGTATTATTTAACGCGCAATTCAAGAGGATTTAGAAATGGATAGTGGAATATGTTAATTATAATTGGAGGGTGGATTTTATGAATATAGAAATTCAGATAAGGTAATGAGACGTCAAATTCAATCGTGTATGTACATTGGCTTTACCCTCGCACGACATTTAAGAGAAATAACATGTTTTAAGTAGAATTTTATTGCAATAATGTAAGCGTTGAATTATTTTTGAAACGTTATGATTTTTCATTGACATGTTAACAATCATTTATCTGCCCAATGGCTAGTGATAATAAATATTAAGGGTCACCAATCTGAACACATTTTTTAGTATTCTTTGAAGCAAATATTTTCGATATTTAAAAAGTTATTTTAGAGGATTGTAGCCTGAGACAAATCATTTTGGGTAATATAGTTAAGTATGTATATTATATCAATATAGTTTTATACCATTTTTTATGGTTGTTGTTTTATTAATCTGATTTATAAACTAATTGTATCAATTTTCCTTTGATTTAAATCGTTCGAAATAATCCTTGGGTCTATGAATCTAAATAAATATTTACATTCTAGTTATTGTTGATACTATGACTAGATTTTGTTTAAAATTACAAACAATTGAATAATACGTTTATGAGTAGTTGTAATGTGTTCGATGTGAAATGTAATTTAACAGTCCACCACGCCTGTACATAATACTATTTCTATGTGCGCACGGTGTATTAATTTAAATTAATTGCAAATATAAAATTATTCGTGAATTTCAATAATGGTTTGTTCATGATTCCTCACCTTTCAATAGCAAAACATAGGTTAACAATCAGTAGATAATCGTTGACGTAATTATTAATATTATTATGCTTTATAATTTATTATTTTATTATCTAAGAAGCTGATTTGTGTGAAAAACTATACGTTTTCAACGCATTGCTGTTATATATATATATATATATATATATATATTAAGTACAATCGTGATGGGGATGATGTTATATGAAAAAATGAACTAAAAAGATTCAATAAAATTGTTCATTGACGTCATTCTTTCAGGAATATCAAAATTGAATATTTATAGAGTACATTTGCACTGGGCTGACTCTACTGAATGCGGCTGTCATAATCGGCAGAAAGTTATTCTACCTGAAAATGATAAGTCAAAAATATAGAGTAATACTTTTTCATCTAGAACGACACGACGCATGAGAGATAATTCAGTTTGAATATTTGTCGAGTACACACGTATTTGATCAACAGTCGGAAAAAACATTTTCAAACTCAATTTTTCAAAAACCAGTTTTAATCAAAAAATGTTATTGTACACTTTTTATTTAATTTCATACATAGAATATTTCTCCATCGATTGCACGACCAGTAATTAGTTAGGACTTAATCAACTGTACGTTTGTCTACCCAGTTTTCACGTTTGATTTTCCCGAAAACGAAATTACAAATTGCAAAATCGCTTCCTTATATTCTTTATTTATTTGTTTATGTAAACTTACATCTCCTTTAATTGGAACAATAAAATATAATATATACGTATACGATGAAAAATATATCCATTGATTTTACAATGGTCATTCAAATCAAACAACATATAACGGATTGTTCTAAAACAAGAACGCATTTAAAAATGCATATTTGTATACATGTAATTACTCATACGAATGAAATGTCAAGATCACTCATGAAATCAGTATTTCACGCATCAAACGTATTATCTGATTATCACACTTCCCCAAACAAGAGAAATACGCAATTGTACAACAATAATCCAACGATTTCAGGACTACAAAAATCTCGATCACCAGACGTACGCTTCAAATCCTAAACCATTCAACACATAAATCCTATATTCAGAATTATTTAGCGGAAGGTGAATCCAGCAAATGCAAAACGACCTACATTCGAATTAAAACACTGACCAATAACTCGATTTCTAAACATCCGTAAACAAAATGCCAACTAAATACCGCTCCTACAACGCTGATCCTGAATACTTTCCGAAATCCAGTAATACAACGAGAAAGAACAAACAAGAATACAAAAGAAAAATAAAAACAGAACAAAAAATGCGTGTATTTCATTCTGTAGTGATCAATGTCATTCTCAGCTCGATCCATAGAAATCCTTCCTTATTACGCCACTCTTGTACGGTTAACGGTGCGCTCCCGAGAGGTAGGATCGCGTTCTAGATCAGAATAAAACATCTCTCGGCCCCTATCGTCCACACCTTTCCCCAGCATGAACGCACCCGCGGACCGCGCGCGCGGCGGGCAGGGTAACGCGGCAGGTAGAGAGGCCAGGCTTGCCAGGAGAGCGTAGGTGAGCTGAAATAGATCGATGGACGTGCTGCGCACGCAAGTACCTCCGGTGTAACCCCCTGCAGGGGGTAGGGAGGAGAGCTCCATGCTCCTGGGTAGGGTTATCGGAGAGAGCCAAGGGGAAGAGCGTGGCGGGTGGGACAGGCGAAGGGACACAGAAAAAGAAGGAACAGCCCTAAAGTACAAAAAAAGGAAACATAAGGAAAGCAACTAAAATAAAGTTTGAGACCAAAGACACATCTAATCACCTCGAGCAAACTTCACAGTGTCTCACGGAAGGTAACAAAGATACAAGACAAATGACATTAAAACTACAGCGACTGGGCCAGGAGCGCTAGAAAACAAGTGTGTAGCTGAATTAAGGCGACAACAGACGAGAGGAAGCTAGCTGCACGGTTAAAGCGAGTGATTGTAACTTAGTGTGCCAGACAAAGGGTAGCTAACGCTCGTATATGACCAGATACGCTGATCCCCTAATCAACGCGTTGAGTTGTCTCGTTGTTTCGCGATGATGGTGCCGGAGGAAAAAGCAGCGGTGCGGGGTAAATACGACCCGTAAGGACGAGGCTCGCCTAGAATCTGGGGGTTGATACGCGTCGGGATAGAGGGGGGACGCCGATCTGGAAAACTCTGCTGTGGGAGGAGCGTGGCCATTGG